AACCTTAAGTCTGTGATATAAAAAAAAAAAATATAAAAATAAAAATCTAAAAAAGTAAAAACAACTGTCTTTTTATAAATATAAAAAGAAAAATGCATACAATTTTTATAATTTTAAGAACCACAAAAATATAAAAACAAAAAGTTTCGCATTGTAAAAGTTCCCTCAAAAAAACTTCAGAATATTTAATTTGTATATTTTTTCATGTTTCGCCCTCTCTTAACTCACCTGTGACATGGAATAGAAATTGGCAGTCAAGACCAGCACAGAGCAAAATATCTGAACCGAAATGGGCTTATAGACAATGGCCTCGATATCGGAAGTTAGCTCAATGATTCTCTTGTGATAATGAATGCAGTGCTTCAGCTGCTGCAACATTTCAGCATCGGTTGCCACCTCTGAGTTGAGACTCTTTCCAATCGATTGCAGACGCAAGGCAAAGATATCCAATTGGCATCGGATAAATATGAATATGGAGCAGCACAGCGAATCGAAGGCGATGTTTATGAAGCAGGCCGAGGACAGAGCGCAACAATGATTAACATACATAAAGCAGAAGCCAAACGAGCCGCGCTCCCCTTGAAAGGGATCATAGGTGTCCAAAGGCAGTTGGGTATTATCGATGATACATTGAGTTAGGAGCAAGGTTGTCAGAGCGCAGACCGAGACGGCGCCATAGGAATTGCGCGTCGTGTGACTGAGCTGACGGGCGTTGAGAAAGATGCGTTGCTCCTCGAGGCTGAGGGGCTTAAATTCTGCATCATGCATATGAGCAAAGAGTCGTTCCAGGTCTAGAATATTGAACTTAAGCGACAATATCTACGATTTGTTTTTTACAGGGTATTAGAATAATATCTAATGTGTATATAGTAGAGCACTTCACCTTCAGTGAGCAGGCAGAGCAGGTGGCCAGCAGAAAGAAACCTTTGATCACCTCATTCATGTCGCCAATATTTATCACAATATACATCAGCAACAGCAGATTGAGCATCATTAAAAAGAAACCAAAAATTATAATGAAATTTACGTTATGCAGCCAGCGTTTCCAGGGTAGCTGCTGCGGATACAGCGAATAACATTGCATAATACGCTTCTGCACCGAATAGAACGAGTTTACTGAACTATCGAAATTTAACTGCATTTTATGGAACACTTATTCAACAACTATTGCAGCGCCCGAGATGGGCTGAGCCTTATAAAGGCATTTGATAAACAATTAAAAACGCATTAATGGCTGCTAATTGGTGGCAAACATTTAGTGATTTAATTGCGTAACTGTAGTAATAGAAAGCAGATATTAAAAAAAAAATCAAATATTGATTAAATAAAATATGTATTTTTAA